GGGTTGATATTTTCTATTGAAAATCCTATGATTTTATCCAAAAGATACTGTCTAGTTTATGGAGAACTCTAGTCCCTGAATATTTTGATCTCTGTTGACTGCAATAGATTTTTTCCATGCCATCTACTAGATACAGTCAATATTGATGCCCTCTATTTCTGGTATTTTTTAGTAGGCCGCAAAACCGCACCTGCAAGAATTGTAGATCAATAAAAATCTTCGATGCCTCGTTTTTAGCTTTAGTTTTTTCCTTGGCAGCTAATGAACATTTTCTACAAAAGTCGTATCAAACATTTTTAACTCCAAAACAACAACACACAAAGTTAGTCTTTCTTGGAAACTTTTGTTCGGTCCAAGATTTGGTCCTATCCTATGGACCTTTTGTGCCCAAAGAATACCGTTTCTATCCATTTGTGTTTATCAGATACTTTCAATTATTCGGCACTTTATTGTTTAAGTAGGTAGGTCGGTATGTATTTCTCAAAATATTCTTTCTACAAATCCATCATTAAAAATAACGTCACTCTCAAACTTGAATAAAACCCGACATAAAATCATCATGAAATATTTTAAAAAGAACTATTTGGTGATACAATAACATAAATTTAGTTGTTTTTATTTGGTCATATTAAACATTAATTCGCATTGCAAATACCAAGGTTAAGTCGCGACAATGCGAGAAATTAAGTAAAGTAGCAACAGAAGGGCATTTACTATACTGATTATGGGATAGGCTTTATTTGTTCTGGTAAAGTCGACGACCTCTAATCGTTTACCTGAGAGTTTATCGATCTTGTTCAGTACCGGTAGTACCTATAAATAATTCTGTTTATCGCTACTTTTGCTTTATGTGAGTTCACTTATCGTACTATGACTCAAGTATTGAGTCATAGCAATACTTGAACACTTTGATCCAAAAAAAAAAAAAGAATTATTAGGATATGTAAATTGCTTTTGATACTTAGCTGTCTCATGTAAATTAATTCAAAATGCTTTATTGGTTATATCGTTATATTTATCCATTATACAACAAAAGGAGTTAAGAATAAAACTCGATTGTTAGTTTGGGTTAGTTGTCTGTGTTTAAATCGCATTATTCGCATTTTATTAACGTCGCCTAAAAAAACTTATAAGTGGAATGGAATGTTTTCGTATTGTTCTCAGAGAGTTCCAGAACACGGCACCAGAACAAATCCTGTAGCTTTTATAGCTTTCAGGGCGTCAGGCTTCAAAGATAATTTTGTTTTTCAATATCCTGTCGGTAATTATTATAAAGGCCACATATTCTGAAGAGCATGTTTCTTAGGCAATTAACTAAATTAGCCTTTCTGTAGCATTCGTTCTGCAAGTTTATAGTTTATTTTTGGCTATTGAGATGCCGAGCTTAACCTACCTTACGGATCAACATTTCAACTTATTAATCCCAATGGATTTGAAAAAAAGTATAAAAACAAAAAAATTGGACTACTAATTTGTTTCAATAAAAATCGATTTTAAAAACTCTCTAATTTAAACTATTACAGTTTTTTTAAAAAAAAACACCAATATTTTGATACAAATCAGTTTCGTTCCCTTGAATCATAAAGCGATTCGCAAAATTTCGATTTGGAACAATTTTCTGTCGAGGGCGTTTGGAAAACAAAGCATTTCCAGAGCCATGTTCTATCTCGCAAGGTATTTACACTACCTATTTATAAATAACCTAATTGCTAGAAATTTTGCAATCTGATGATTTTATACATGCCATTAAATGAAAATCTGGTAAAATTTTATAACTTAAATGTCACTTCATCATAGCCACTTTTTCTCCCCCTACAAGATGCTAACTTCAAATTTAAAATCTGACGTTTCGTCTTTGGGCCACTCAACTTAATTTTTTTTTAAATACAGACCCCTATTTTTTATTTTAGATTTTATAAGCTTCTGATATCCCAAAACCAATGTAGATTGCACTTATTCGAAAAATTAATATTATTGGCACTTTCCATGAGACCTAAATGTGTTAGAGAGAGACTAGAGAATTTTGGTAGGAACTTACTAAAAAGTAAAAAAAAAAAAACAATTTCTTCGGATAAATGCGATACGTCATAGGTTTTTTGGGACATCAGAAGCTCTAAAAATCTGAGACAAAAAATCCAGGGTGGTACTTGAAAAAGTAAAGTTGATGATGGTGGCCAGAAGACGAAACGTCAGATTTTAAATTTGATGGTAGCATTTTGTAGGGGAGAAAAAAGTGGCTATGATGAAGTGATATTTTTTTTGAAATATAATTTCAAATAAAGTCAGGCAAAAATAAAAACAATTTTGCAAAATTTGGTTTTTTTTTCCGGATATCTTCGGAAGTATTTGGAATATCCTAAATATCAAAGTGGCATTTTGTTAAGCATCAAATTACGCAACTTTGTCCTCATTTGACCAGCCCTGTATCTCTCACCGTTTCCGAGATCCCAATGATGTGTCTCGAATTTGAAACACCCTGTATATCAATTTAAAGATATGGAAATAGCCAACGAGAGCGAAAGAGAGATTGAAGTTTTATACATATTTATTTCTGTCTCTCTATCTTTTCATTGAGAGACTGCTTTCTGACATTATACCTACACATCTGGACTATTTATATATAACTACGGTTTCGTTTCAACAAACGTAAACTTATTTACTACCGGTGGCCGAGTTTATGTTAGAAATCAAATTTAAAAAAAATTCGCTGATAAATTCACACAACCTGTTTCGTGATTTTCGTAGGTTGGAGTAGTAGACGCTCAAATTACCTAATTGGTGTCAATATATCCGGTAGTCTATTTTAATGGAAAATTTATCATGTGCCAATTAAAATGACGGGTATTCATGATTTTTTAAACTTCAACTATTTTGCTTTTTTCTTCGTTTTCTCAGGAAAAATCTTCTGACAAATAAAGGAACAATAATGGCAAAAATATGTCACTGTGACATTTATTTATGGAAACCGACATGACGGACGTTTTTGTAATCAAAGTAACCTTTGATTTAGTTTTTTTTTCAAGACCCATTAAGTATCTGTACCCACATAAATCTTTAGGTCATAATCCCAATCAGGGAAGCGGTAATTGTTGAGATAGAGTCAGAAAACTATTTTCAATCATTTAAATCACTGATTTATTAGTGATTTGCATGATATTGCAAATTCTTTGATGGATTTGGTTGCTGTCTGATTTTTTGCTGAAGCCGACATCGAATGTTTGTTTGTTGAGGATTTCTGATATATCTTTTAAGTGGATAAACTGATTTCTAATTCAACAAACATTTTTGAACCGTCTATGTTGACAGATAACTTCAATATTGTACAGTTTGACTGGCATATGATTTCTAACTAATGAACTTTTATATTTTTGATTTTTTTGAAAAATGTAAAAGTTTGAAGCAAAAAAAAGTGATCTGTTAGACAGACCCACAGCGCTACTTTTTTGATTAACCACAATGGTGCAGCTGCTAAGACAGGTAGGTACTTCGATTCAACTCTCCTTGCTATCTACAGTTGTAGCTGTTTTATTATGATTTTTAAAAGAAATGCAGCATGCCTTCCTGCCACGCCTCATACAAGATCGACGGTCACAAATTTGCTCTCTTATCAGGACTATCTGTTAAATGCCTTCGATAATTCCAAACAAGTGGATAGCATTTACACGGACTTCTCGAAGGCATTTGACAGGGTTAGTTATGAACATCTTGTTGGTAAGGTTGAGGCTTTTGGAATGGGTAGGATTGTGGTTGATTTTTGTCAAAGTCTCTCGACCGGGCGTACTCAACTGGTGCGGGTTGGTAACTTCATCTCAAGTGAAATATAGGTCTTTTCTGGCGTGCCCCAGGGATCGCACATTCGACGTATCCTTTTCAATTTGTCTATACGAGATCTGAGTGATGTTATTGTCCATCCGGAGCATTTGGCTTTTGCTGATGATTTTAAAATATTCAGAGTTGTTGAGTCTTATATGGATGCGCTTTCACTACAGAAAGGTGCTGACATTGTCAATCCATGGTGCAGGAGGAATGGTCTGGAGCTGAATATTAAGAAATGTTTGTGCATCTCATTTAGTGGTTCAGCAAATGTAGTAAAATATGGATATTCTATCGATGGTTCAGTTTTGGTGTCTGTGAAAACCGTCAGAGACTTGGGGGTATTGTTCGACTCCAAATTAACACTTTTTCGTCGTTGTGAAGATGTTGGTTACAGGGGATTAAGTAGTCGTGGGTTTGTCACCAGTAACAGTACTCAGCTCTCGCCATATTCCTTCAAGTTGCTGTATTGCTCGCTTGTTCGTTCGGTTGGGGAGTATGCCTCTGTTGTTTGGTCTCCCTACTACGCATGTCATATAAGTGACCTTGAGTCTGTCCAGAAAACATTTTTGAGATCCTTGGCTTTCAGGGCGAATGTAAGGATACGTGATGGTTATCAAATTAACTATGGTCTAATCAGCGAGCAGTATGATATTGACAGTCTTGAAGTAAGAAGACGTCATTGTGACCTTCTGGTTCTATTTAAGATAATTAATGGTATCTACTTCTGTCCTTCTCTGTTACATGCTATTTCTTTTAATGCCAGTCAAGGGAGACGTGATTCTTCAATATTTCGTATCCCCTTCCATCATGCCAATTATGGTCCTAATTCCCCCTTCACAAGGACATTGAGGGCATTCAATGTTCACAAACTTGATCCTTTTGCCTGTGGCCTTGTTATGTTTAAATCTAGAATTAGGAATATTGAATAAGACTGATAATGTATTATTATTATTGTTATCGTTGTTTTTTTTTTTCATTTAAATTGTTTATTTGTATTGTTGGCTATCTTACCTAAATTATTTATGTTGTTGTTATTCTTTGTAAAATGGCTCTACCGTTTATTAACAAAATAAAAAAAATAAAAATGTTCAGCTCAGTATCGCCCGAGGTATCGCCAAACTGCGTTAAACTTAACTTATTTTTGCAACAATTGTCATACTTATTATAATTCAACTTTTTTCCAGAAGAATAATGCATCACGCCACGAAATGCCTATTATTAAGCCTTCTAACAACAGCTACAGTCTTAGCACAGGTTCCTCAAAGATTTACCGCCCAAAATCCCTGCACCTCCAAAGGAACATGCCAAGAATGTATCCAGACCCCTTCATGTGCTTGGTGTTATGATCCAGTAAGCAAAGGTTGAACATAAAATTTTTACTAATTATTTTCATCGAAATTTCATTCTAGCAATTTACTGGCAGCGCAAGATGCTTTCAACCGTCATTCCCGCTGTCATCTAAAGAAGAACAATGCAAAGAAGAATTTACTCATAATCCAGATAACATCATGAGCGTACTCTCAAACTTAGAATTAACCAAAGCAATTTCTGGTGGAGGAAGTGGAGGTGGTCACTGGTCGATTGGGTATGAAGGTAATTGGAGTCAAACTGATAGCTGGGAACATCAAGGTGCTTCAATGGCTGGTGAAGGTGCTAGTGGCCACGGTAGTAGTGGACATCATATCGTGCAGGTGGCTCCACAAAGGATTAATTTGAAGTTGAGAGCAAGTGAGTTCAAAATAATATTTAACTGCTGATACCTTACTTAACATTCAATATGATTTTAGGACAATCTTATAGCATTTTTATGGGCTACACTCAAGCTGAAGATTATCCAGTAGACCTCTACTATCTCATGGATCTCAGTAAATCTATGTCTGATGATAAAGAAAAACTATCTTTGTTAGGTGACCAATTGGCGTATACTATGCAAAAAGTGACGTCCAACTTCACTCTTGGATTTGGTAGCTTTGTGGATAAGGTGGTTATGCCCTATGTTAGCACCCTCCAAGAAAAGTAAGCCTTGTTTCATTCTGATTATATTTATTTGTTGAGTAGGGAAATTAAATGTTGTTCTATAATATTTTGATCTATAGGTTGGAAAGGCCCTGCGATATGTGCGTGGCGCCCTATGGATTTCATCATCATATGAGTTTGAGCACTAATACTTACATGTTTTCAGTAAGTTCTGATTTTAGGTCGAACGATAACATTTTTCTCATCTTGCATCCTCTAGTTTAAACATTATTTGCTAGCTATTGCAAAGGCATCGTCTAGGTATGCGTGCATGTTTGTTTGGTGTACTTATCTACTATATGTAGTTGTCATAACAGTATATATATTTTTATAGTGATTATTATAGATTGGATATTCTTTCTTCAAATATTTTTTTGGGTTTTTTTTCAAGCGTCAAACCTTCAGCTGTACCTTTATTCTTAAATTTGAAATAAAAATACTATCATAAAAATAGATTCTTTCAACACAAAAGCGTACACAAAGACAGAAGTAGCACAAATGCCAAATGATTAGTGCAAAAGTAAATCAAAGACTAGAAGTTTGAAGAAATACTCAAATATGCAATGAGGATATTTTGAAGAAACCGTGGCAGGAACAACGAAGAAAGGGTTTCGAATTATTAAAAGTATAACAGTATAACCAAAAAGCTAGATTTGCCGTTCCGAATATCGAATATGTTACACAAAGCATGATAGGATTTTTTCTAAAAATAAGTAAACATAAAAAACGAGATACAAATGATATTAAGATTCAAATTATAATTAGTCATGGCAGAAAAAAATACTGATCTAGATAGAGCTTGGTTGAAAATAGAACGAAAAGCACAAGGAAATCAAAAACTTTTTTAGATAGAACTAGAGGCATTGAGCCTTGAGGAGCTCATTGACGCGAACAGACCGAATGTAGATGCAAACATGACAATAGAAGAGGTAGAGATAGCGACTTATGAGTTAAAAACAATACTAGCTGAGAGTGAAATAACAGCAGAGATAATTAAACAAATAGGCCACAAAAAAAGTACAAAATAAATTAAAATGCATGGGCATCGGTATTAGCAATCTTTGAGAAAGCATTAGAACATCAGATTTCATGTATGGAGGCATAACACTATTAAAAGCGTGGCATTGAAGACAGGAGAAAATAATTAACAAAACTATATGACCCACCAAAGAAAGAATAGCTAATGCATAATATACAAAGCTGAATGATTACTCAAGAGCATCAAGATCAAATATTTTAAGAACAAGAAAAGGGAGGATATGTACAGTGGTAATCATTGCAATTGGCACATACTCTTTTAAAATCCCTCGTATTAAGGCAAAATTCTAACCAATAATTCTATTATTCAGTGCAGCGGTGTACATTATATTTTATTATTACAGTTTTATAATTATTTTGATCAACAATATACCAGTAGGTACATTACCCACCCCACAGAAGAACATGTAACATACCAAAGCAACATAAAAAATCAATAACCAAACTTAACACTAAATTGCTAATTGCATATGGTAATTGGTAAACCATTTTAGCATACACATATTCTCCTTTAACAGTTTATCAGAACTATTATGTACACCGCACTGATTAATCAATTTGACACGATTTTGACATTACCTGTGTGTCAAAGAAGTAAAATTTTGACACATTATGGGGGTTTATATAGTATGTGCCAATTGCAATGATTATCACTATACCTAGTCTCGGATCTAGCTTATTGAGTCCCAGGCAATTTTGAACCAGGATTTGACAAGAAGCCAAGAGAAAAAGTTTTGGAAAATGGAGGGGACGAAAAGAAGATAGGCCTAACAATAAAATCTATAAAAAATTCGTAAACCAGACGGTCAAGAAAAACAAATAATAAATAATTAAAATATCTAAATTCAATTACAGACCAACTGAACCAAATTTAAGTTGTAAAACTTCGATATCGACAAGGAGCTAGAAAAGCCAACTATAGCTACAGAAATGAAGTTTTAAAAAAATTGGTAATACCCTTTGCCCATGACTACCCTCGGCAAATCATCCCACCCTTTTTTCGATAAATGTCAAAATTTCAGGTCCTAATCTTGTAGAGCGTAAATAATTTCCAAATTTAAACTATTCTTCTAATAAGTAGTTTTGGAAATATACAACGAATTTTTTTCCAGCACAAAGGGCTCATATCTTGAAAAAGAATAAAAAATCGACAACAACAAAAACGTATCTATAGTAAACTCCAAGAACGGTTACTTTTTCCTCATAACCAACTTCGTATCATTTACAGACTGACAGACAGACAGTGAAAAAATGTTGAGGTCGAGTTTTTATGTGAATACAATATTTCCCTTACTACATCAAAAATACTAGATCATCAGATCATCAGGGAGGGAAAACAATCATCAGGATTAGATACAATCAAAAGCCTCTCGAATAAGTGCATATACATGCATATATTATTTTGAATTTAGGCAGGACATATATGAAAATACAAAAATTTGCATGGTATTTATTATAAAACAACAAATGTATGACTTTTGTTGAAGTTGAATTGGGTTTTAATCAATTGGGACATTGAGTAATAGATAAAATCTATAGAAAAAAGTTAAATGAGTGTAAATTTTATAAAATCAGCCATATGTAACTAATAAAATTTCCTATATTTATATTGATCTGAAAAGCTGTAAAACGCATTGGTTATAATCGGGCCTATGATTTATCCTCTCCTGCTATTGTCATAGCTCAACATCTATACCCTTCTATATTTGGAAGTATAGAATAAACACAGGTCAGATAATTGTTAAAATAACAGAAAATGATACATAATAGGCCCGATTGTGTCTTCTATCTCTATCACTGACAATATGTTCACATAAAGAAATCTCATTTCTCCGTTTACTGAAGTTATGGGGCAACATTTGATAAAAGAAATGAATATTTGAAAGTGCCTATAGAAATAATTTTTGAGCAGATTGAATGGTAGGGATCTTGGTAATGTTTCATGGATGTAGATAAGCATGAAAGCATGTGAGTAGTGTAAAAGAATTTATAACTTGGGCACAGAACTGAAGCATTTGCAGAAATACATAAAAAAAATGTGATTTCCCATTGCAGCAGACAAGAAAAAGGAATTCCTTCGAGATATGAGATTATTTTGTTATAATATTTTAAATCAACAGTTTTGTGTTAACTAATTTTTGCATCGTGTTCTTAGTTAGTCTTGTTTATGGTTGTAGTTTAGAACACCCTTGCGATCAGTGCGCCGCCCCCTACGGCTACAAGCACATGATGGCCTTGTCTCAAGACACCTATCATTTCTCCGTAAGTGAATGTTCTAGATTGGCGAACTGACGACTAAAAAAAAGCCTATTTTCTTATTTTCCACTATTTTAAGCTACTAAAAAAAAGCATTTGAATTTGAGTGGCTCTAATATATATTTTTTTTTTCAATTAAAATTTAATTTTAGAACATTCTTTCACTAATTTGTTTTGCAACTCCACTAATTTATTGGGACTGTTAGATGTTTGATGTTGGCATTTTGCTCATGTTGTGATGCTAACAAGAAAATTACAATTTTGTTGGAAACAGCTCTGCATGTGTGGGTAAAAAAAAACTTGCTTAGGTATAATTCTAATTTGTATATAATAATTGTAGATAATATCAATAATAACATAACACAACTGGTGAATGGTAAAATTGTTACACAAATATTATTTTTTTTAATATATGTTTTAAATATAAGTCTCTATCATTAAATTCAAAATATGAAAATCCAAGTTTTTTGTGAAAACGTACCCAGAAACAGAAAAAGGTAGCCTATAGACAAATCTACTGTGAAATGCTTTTAAAGAAAACAATTCTTGGCGCAAATTAAAGTAGTAATGTAACAATTTTGGCATTTATGTAAAAATTGACTAATCTACGTATTTATACATACAGGGTGGGGACTTTAACTGGAACTAATTCGCTAGAGCCTTCGAATAAAATATGTGGACAAAACGCAAAAACACGTCGATCAAGATTTTTCGCTTGAGTTTTTTTCACATTAATTTTTTTATACAGGGTGTTCGAAGAACAGCTGTACGGTTGTCAACTTTATCTTTCCAAATGGTAGCCCCTGTATATTATGACATTTCTGGATTCTGCAGAAAATTCTAGACATATTTCATTCACAATGTCATATACCTATCTTCAACTGTTTCGGAAATATTGACAGTTGAAAATGGACTTTTTTGCAACTTTGACAAGCTGTAAAACCTTAACGGTTAATTTTAGAGGAAAACCTATTTCACATTCCTATCTTAGATTTTCATAAGCTATCATTTGACACCAACTTTGAATTTAATCCATGATTAAAAATTCCAGTTAAATTCAATCTACAGTTAAATTCAAAGTTAGTGTCAAATGATAGTTTATGAAAATCTAAGACAGGAATGTGAACTGGTTTTCCTCTAAAATTAACCGTTTAGGTTTTACAGCCTGTCAAAGTTGCAAAAAAGTCAATTTTCAACTGTCAATATTTCCGAAACAGTTGAAGATAGGTATATAACATTGTACATGAAATATGTCTAGAATTTTCAGCAGAATCCAGAAATGTCATAATATACAGGGGCTACCATTTGGAAAAATAAAGTTGATAACCGTACAGCTGTTCTTGGAACACCCTGTATAAAAAAATTAATATGGAAAATTTTCAAAAAAAAAATCTTGATCGACTGTTTTTGCGTTTTGTCCACATATTTTATCCGAAGGCTCTAGCGAATTAGTTCCAGTTAAAGTCCCCACCCTGTATAAAGGGTCGTCCAAAAAAAAAAAAACGGAATTTTGTTTTTGAGCTGTAACTTTTTTTTTTGTTGGCCAATTTCCTTTTGTTTTGGCTTGTTTGAAAGAGAATTGAATAGGCCAATCAACCAAGAGGGAACTTTTGAAATTTGAGAAAAATTCAAAATGGCGGACTTCTTCAAAAATTACCTAGTTTTGGACATGAGGAGTTGATATTCGATATTTTTTACCGATTTTTCCTGTCAAGGTCCCTAAATGTTCGCAAAATGATGCACTGCAAATTTATCAAAAAAAGTTATACAGAGAGTAACAAAAAAGTTCCTAGGTAATTTATGAAGAAGTCGGCCATTTTGAATTTGTCTCAAATGTCAAAAGTTTCACGTTGGCCTGTTATTTCTCTTCCAAATAAGCCAAAACAAAAGGAAATTGTTGAAATTGGTCAACAACAAAAAAAAGTTACAGCTCAAAAACAAAATAGCGGTCTTTTTGGACTACCCTAAACATATTTAAATATATATGCACATGTTATATGCTATGCCTCTTCCAACGTCTGCCTAGATTTCTTTTAGGTTTAAATTGATACATATTTCATTATACATATACTAACAGCTTTTCTTTTGCATGAATTCAAATCAACTAACTTTTCTTTTTTTCCTTTTAACATCTAACGATTATCAAGGCGATCGAGTTATGATGGAAACCAGTAAAGATCCTAATTCTTGAATAAAACCACATGATAACTCGAGCAGTCATTATTTTTTTCGAAAAATATATTTGAATGTATGTGATTCTTACTTGATTAACAGCGCATGGTAAAAAATGCCAACGTGTCAGGAAATCTTGATGCCCCTGAAGGCGGTTTTGATGCCATCATGCAGGCTGTAGTTTGCAGAAACCAGATCGGTTGGCGGCAGCAAGCCAGAAGGCTTCTGGTGTTTTCAACGGATGCTAGTTTCCATTATGCTGGAGATGGGAAGGTAAGGAGGAGCCCTCTTCTAAAATTTATTAGCTTACCGAAAACACTGTATTCATATTCACATTTATGATTTTTGAAGACATAAAGAGAGTGTGTTAATACGTATGTAAAAAAAAATCTGCTGAAATTGACACCCTGTATGTTCCCAACTATGTAGATCATTTTTGCAATAATCCTTTTTGAAAGCCATTTTTGTTAGATAATTTATTGGCAAAATTTCTGTCCTTTTCAGTTGGGAGGAATTGTGAAACCCAATGACGGAAGATGCCATCTCTCACACGAAGGTTACTACTCTCAATCTTCTTACCAAGATTACCCCTCCATAGAACAAATCAACTTGGCAGTTAAAAAGAACTCGATAAATGTAATATTCGCTGTTACTGGCAACACTATTCGAGTTTATGAACAATTAGCTAAACATATAGAAGGAGCATCAGTAGCTAAATTAGAAAGGGACAGTTCCAATATTGTAGAATTAATTAAAGAGCAATATGAACAAATTTCTTCCTCGGTGCAAATGAAGCATAATGCTTCTAGCGCAGTGAGCATTCGATTTTTCACTAGGTGTCTTAATGAAAGTGGTGCTTTGGTCAACACCAATAAATGTGGCAATATTAAGGTAATTTATATCTATCTATGCAGTGGAGGTTTTTTTTTTTCAATATTTATTTTAGGTCGGAGATGTGATTAACTTCAAAATTGACATTGAAGTCCTAAAATGCCCCAAAGAAAGAAGAGACAGGTTTCAAACCATTCAAATTTATCCAGTTGGTATAAATGAAAGTTTGACCATCGACTTGGAAATGTTGTGTGAGTGTGACTGTGAAAAACCTGGCGATAAAGTAAGAATCACTAGACGAAATCATTAATTGTCTTAATAAAAATTAATTTTTCAATAGTACTACCTAGAAAATGCACCAGCTTGCCACGGAGCTGGTACCTATAAATGTGGTATTTGCGTTTGCAATCCAGGAGCATTTGGTAGGCATTGCGAATGCAGCGCTGACGAAGTTACAAAACTATCAAAAACTGTAGGATGTGTACCACCAAATAGTACCACTGGATTAGAATGTTCTGGTAGGGGTACATGCATTTGTGGTAGATGTGAATGCGAATCTAGAGGACCGCTAGAGGTGAAAAGTTGCTCCTTTTCTCAACATAGAAATATATAAGGAAATTTTTTAGCGGATTTATGGTGACCATTGCGAATGCGACAATTTCAGCTGCGAACGTCACATGGGAGAATTATGCAGCGGAGAAACCCATGGCACTTGCGACTGTGGTACCTGTAGATGCAAGCCAGGATGGTCTGGGCCAAATTGTGCTTGTGAAGAATCTGAAGCAGGATGTTATCCCCCCGATGTTATAGGAGGAGAAATTTGCTCTGGGCATGGTTCTTGTGTTTGTGGGCAATGCCAATGTGAAAATACTAAGGAGAGTCGATATTCGGGCAAATTTTGTGAAAAGTGCCCTACTTGCCCTGACAGATGCTTGGAATTTAGAGATTGTGTACAGTGCCAGATGTATCTGACAGGACCTCTTAAAGAGCCTAACGATTGTAGTGTCAATTGTACTAATGTTCCTGTACCAATCGCTGTAGATAAAGTTGAAGGTTAGTTTTACTTTTTATTAATAATACACTCACTAATAGATTATCGAAATTATTTTATAAAATATTCACAAGAAAATATAATACAAATTTAGTGATAAAGGCCTTATAGAATTAGTTATGCTAGTTGGTGAGACTCTTTTTCTAAATTAAATAAATTAGCAATAAGCTTATAAATGAAAAGACAGCTGCGGACATTACTGCTGACATTACTGCCAATATCGTCACTGAAGTTTTTTCCTCCTCATCAGTGGCACTGAAATTTAAAATCCATGATACATTTTTTATTTCTATTTGGAAAAAATATTACTTTGCTGGTATCAGAGTGATGCAAATATTAATCAAAAACCCATTGGAGAAACAAAACATACTGATAAAAACCATATAAGGTATGTCATAGAATATCACTGGCAGATGGAGCCTGGGTTGAGCATTGCAAAGCATCAATAGAGGAATGAATCCAATCCGTAATATTGCTGCTGCCAGAACAATCTGATTGTTAGACTGAAACAAAACAAAATATTTCAACTTAAAGATATTTTAAAGAAATTTCTCAAATCTCACTTTTTGAATCTTTGATGCTAAAAAACGTCCACAAATATCAAAGATGCTTGCCATTAAGAATGTTATCATAGGAACAAAATACATATCTGCAAAATAATAATATTCTTATTGAAATACAAATTCAATTTTAGTAGGTAGTGTGGTTTTTGTTCAACGCCCTAGCCATTTCCAATTTTAAATGGATCATTTGAAAAATAGCTCCGTTGCTTCAACCCCATTAAAATAAATTTGCTATTGCAAGAAAAAGTACAAACATACATTTTTCTCACTGGCAATCTTTAATCTCATTTGGAACATACTGATTAAAATGAGCAATTTGTTACAACCGTGACACGATCCATAGTCTATGATGATCTTATGGCTGCTTGATTATATAATTTACTAGATAATAAAGATGGATTAGAAACCAACTAATTTGAAAATTCTAAATTATCCTAGTCTTTGTGTTATTGAACTTCTAATTGTTCAAGTTAATATCAAAAGCAGATGAAAAATTAATAAACATGTGAAAATAATATTAAATTTTTTGAACAATAATATAGTCTAATATTCGAAAGTCACCTCTCACCTGGCCATGCGCCCCAAGATCTTCCATTACTTTTATCAGCAACCACCAAAGCGGCAAATCCTGGATATACTATAGCACTAGTACCTATAGTGATTACCAAGGCTGCCATGTACATTTTGACTTTTTTATTAGTCTCTTTTGTTTTCGCCCATACAACTAGCAACAACCTGCGGTGATCTGCTAAACTCTCAGGTGCTGCATCGTTTTCTATTTGGTAAATGGAATATTGCGAGTTTCTTTTTGAAAAGAAATAAATCGCTATGGTAACTAGCACTAGAAGTGTACCAATTATAAAAAATACTAATCCTCCAGCATGGGGTTTTTTAGTAACGGCGGTGGTAATAATTTGTATAAGAGCAGATATAGCTGCACATAATGGTTGGCCTGATAACACAGCAGTGTAGTATTCTGGAGGAAATTTTCGTACCATTTCTACCAAGCTCACTATAATTACAGCTCCACAAACTATAAAATGCTTATATAATAATAAAAAAATGTAATAATAATTCTTATTTATCTTACCCCCAAGAAAACATGCAATACACATCAATATGAAGAAAAATATTGTTTGAACTTGGAAAGAAAAAAGCATTAAAATTATATAAATATGTTCATGTAAAAGACTCACAAGTATCAGTAGTCAAATCACAAAAGATCAAATTGACCACATAGAAAAACAGTGTACAAAGTAGGGCCGCAAAAATTCTTTTATCGGGTGCCGGTAATTTTTTTGAATAAGCCGCTGTTAAAACTATAAATATAAGCAGCGACAATTGAGATACTATATAATAAGATGAAGGAAAAAGGGTTTGCAATACATTCCGATCTTCTGGTGGTCCTGGTCCTAGATGATCCGCATCGGGTTCACTGGGTTCTGGCCTGGCACCCATATAACGGAACTTGAACATCCAGTACTAAAATAATTTATTTAATGTGTTAAATTATAGAATGCGTTTTTATTCTCGTCGAATTTTACTGCGGTTCCACCATCTTATGTCAGTCATGGTCATTTTCTATTTATTAAACAAAGATAGCTTTCTCATCAGTAGAAATCATTAGGAATAAAAACGCACGCATAATCGTGCAGATGCGTCACCCTATTGGCTGTTATGACAAAATAATTGGGAATAAATGTAAGAATTCCCAACAGAAAGAATATCCCATAGGTAAGGTAATATTTGTCTTTGATGTTTGGTATCGGCATATTTCATCTAAATTTTCTTATTCATGAATATTTTGAATTGTATTTTTCTTAAGCGCATAGTTTGAAATATTTCCAAATCTTATTTGGCTGCTGTCACCTATAAATAAAAAAAAACTATTTAGTGTGTACCACTACCAACCCACAAAATAATGTAGCAGTGTGCCATCAACTATTACATATTTACTGTTTTATCTCTTATTTTATAGTCTCTGCTTTGAAGGAATTTGATTATTTTAAACTTAGTTCAGTGAAATTAGAAATAATATTTGGCAATCTGTGAATGTTTTTTTTTTTTAAATTTATTCAATAATTGATATGGTGAAACCTCTAAGTCGCGACCAAAGAGTGATCGTAAGAGGGGCCATTGAAATGGGAGACAGTAAAGAGCAAACAAAAACACAAAGTTATTTTGTTATGTTTGTGATTCCTTATTAGACTACCATCAAAAGTATTTGACATATTGGGGGTTTCCACGTTTCCCAATGATTACCTAACAAATATTGCTCATGAAGGAATAACGGATGTTGCTTAATGATCATTCATTTCATGTTTGCTCAAAACTAATTTCGGCTTTCTAGAGCGATTTGATAAATATTCCTTCAGAATTTCGCACTACTATAAACACATGTATGTAGTTGTTATTCTGATTTCTTGGGGTAGGGAGCGTCTGGCAATGATTGAAACTTTTTTTACTAACGCCGAGCTTTCGGACAATTTATTTCCTTTTTCAAGGGTGTAAAGTGAGTTACAAATAGGCAAATCCTTGTAAAAACATAAAACCAAGCTTCCTTCCAAAAATTAACAATAAAATATATAAAATGTATAGGGTAGAATGGTGTAAAAAATTATTAATATACTTTGACAAATTTTAAAAAATTTAGATGTAAATGTAGTAAAAGAAGAGTTTCAATCATTGCCAGACCGCTACCCCAAGAAATCAGAATAAAAGCTACTTATTCAATTGGCGGGTCAGGATTTCCATTCTATCTACTTATATGTATGTATATATTATTTTTTTAAGCACAAAGTTATAATATCGTCTCATCCTCTCTTTTATTATATCTGTACCTCTATTTTGAAGGAATTTGTTGTTATGGGATCAATTAAAACTACGTATTATTATACTATATCAATGATTAGCTTACGTTTTAAACTTGGCTGATAAAACTAGGTATTTGATACATACTTTTATTGATTCACAATTAACCGCATGAAACAACCTTCACTTGAATGATTCAAGTTGCATTAGCACAATTAAAGCTCGAAATACTTTCCTTAATCATAATAATTTTATTTCGAGAGATTATTGGATTTTCAAACAGAGTTATTGTTGAGATTCTACAGGATACCTATGGGGGCACACTCATAAACCTGTTGTTTAATAAAAATACATTGCTACACTATAAAGTTGCCAATGATTCTGCCTGATAACGAGCCCGTTCACCAGCAAGATAAAATTCCTTAGTAGTGATAACAGAAATAAGTATGCTGAATAGTCGCAATTTCATACCTGTTTATTTTTAATTGATGCTTGCTATATTTAAATTTTTAATTTGCTTATTTGGAAGACGAATCTAAATAAAGCCCAAAAAAAAATTTTTGGCATTTTTTTGAGTACAGGCCATCAATTTTCAATTGAAATTCAAATTCTACCGGATGCTGACGTCATCATCCATCGGATTCTGTTGGCTGCTTCCTTGCCTTATTGCCATGTTGTTGATTTGCGAAAGCTGTTATATATCACGCATTGTCGCTAGATTTTATTCTACAGCAATCTTATGTCAATCAGGCAACTATGGAGATTTCAATTGGTGCAAAATATGGCGGACTATTTAAAATATTGCAATTTTTTCCCTTCAAATTCAGTTGAGTGGAAAAGACCCATTTAAATTATTTTGATGGGGTTTTCCTTGTAGTGACAACAATTTAGCTGAATATACAGTATGTTCATTTTGAAACTTACCACCCCTATTATCTCGGAGAAGAAAAATTTTCGAGAAAATTCCTGAAACACGTCAACTATAATTTAAGGGGGGATGAGTTTCTATGCAAAATTTATCTCCCCCCTTTCAACTCCCCAGCCCCCAGAGCCACCCCCTAGAAAATCTCAAATGGAAAGGGGGTCAAGTGATACATCATTTTGGAGAGTTTTTAATTCCATACATTTTGGTACTAAATTCAGTCTCTAAGTTCAACTGTTTCGGAAATATTGACAGTTGAAAATTGACTTTTTTCCTACTTTGCCAGTCTGTAAAACCTAAATGGTTAATTTTCTAGGAAAATCGATCTTACATTCTTGTCTTAGATTTTTATAAACTATCATTCGACACCAACTTTGAATTTAACCGGAGATTAAATTTTTAACCGGAATTTTTGATCATGGATCAAATTCAAAGTTGTTGTCAAATGATAATTTATAAAAATTTGAGATAAGAACGTAAGATCGGTTTTCCTCTAAAATTAACCGTTTAGGTTTTACAGCCTGTCAAAGTTGCAAAGAAAGTCAATTTTCAACTGTCAATATTTCCAAAACAGTTGAACTTAGAGATTGAAATTTAATACCAAAATGTAAGGGAATTTTGCATGAAAACTCATCCCCCCTCAAATTATACTTGACGTGTTTCAAGGATTTTTTCAAAAAATTTTCTCCTGCGAGATAATAGGGGTGGTAAGTTTTAAAATGAACACCCTGTATATTGTGAAATTTAATTCACTATCGCCAGATTGAAGCAGAATTTTGCATACTTCTTTTTATTTTGGACATATTTCCATTAAATATAAACCATAGTAATAAGCAAGACAAAGGGGTAACTTACTACTAGCTTCCAATGAAATGATTTTTTTTTTTAAATTTTTGAAATAAAAGCTTACAAATTTCATCAAAATTTGTGTGCGACCAAACTGGAGGAACACCGGAACCAAATTGTCCCTAGCCAACTGATTTAAAACTTCCACGATTATATGAAGAACTTATTTTATGAATATTTTGCTGCTTTTTTTTAGCAATCGAAGAAAACAATGAATACTTGTGCCATTACACAGATGAAGACCACTGCCAATTTACTTATGTTTACTACTACGACAGCGAAAGGAAACTTCATATTAGAGCGCAAGAGAAAAGGACATGTCCTCCAGAGGTAAGAAAATCTACATGAAATTAGTTTTTATTGATAAAATATTAGAATTCAACAAAATGTTTATACTTTCGGCATTCCTACATTAAATTTTTTTAATTTATCATAGTAAGAGATTTTTTTTTATCGGCTTGGATATTCTAAAAAACAAGTTGTGTATAGATAATTACCAAACAATTTTTGTTTTCACAGTAAAATTATTGATACCAATTATTTACAACTGTTACATTCAAATTATTTAGCAATTCACAAAATGCAGCTTCTTGACTGTGTGACGAATCTAATCTTCATAATACTTTCCATATGGAAAATTCACAGTACAGTGTACAATCCACTGCATAGTTTTCTTAGCATGAGCTTGTATGGCTTTAAGACATAGCTAGAATATGCAATACAAGCAGAATACCAGATCAGAATCACAATGCCGTCAGGTGTGAGCCTAAATAGCAAGTATTGTCATCTCCCCAATGTCCGATAATGTCGTTTCGCTGACTATGATTTAATATAACTGCCATTTGAGTAAAAATATGAATCTATAATCTTTTACACTTTCTGGAATTAATCTAAACTCTTGACTTTCCAAATTCCAAAAAACATGTACCTATGTGTTTTCAATTATCAGATTTTTAGGATTTAACCATTTTTCCAAATAGATGCATATCTTTTATTTACACCTGGCTAAGTTTTTGAGTCTGGTACAATTTTTTGAACCCGCTGTAAGTCCTAATCAGGTCAGTTCGCTGGTGGAGCTTAGATTCATTTCAACATCAAATTGTTTACCTGTTTAGTTGGTACATAAACCTAAATTGCTTCGAAAAAAAAAACTATTTGATTTATTATACATATTAGTGCATCTTGTTAATTTAGATATGGCTTGTTTTCGGAATTTTAATAGGTATATTCAGCAAAATAGTTCCAGCAATTATTCTAATAATGTAAGTTTGGCTTAAAATTTCAAAAGATATGTAAGTCATAAATCTACTATTGAAAAATTAATGAAGGTAGAAATTTCTGTTTGCCTAAATATGTCTTATCTTTCTCATTTATCTAGGTATTATATTTTACTAAAGTGTCAAAGCTTTATTTTTTGAAATCTATTTTGTTTTTTAGATTTTTGTCCTGGGCATTGTATTTGGTGTCATAGCTGCTATAGTACTTATTGGAATGGCCATATTGTTGCTATGGAAATTACTAACCACGATCCACGATCGACGTGAATTTGCGAAATTCGAAAAGGAAAGAATGATGGCTAAATGGGATACTGTAAGTAAAAATAATAACTATCCTAATAATTTTATTCCCATTAGAAAAATCGTTGTCCAGAGTTGTTTGCTACTAAGCTCAGAAATGTGCATCTTTATGAATAATTATGTCTTATTCGTGGCTCTACTCTCTTAAAGAACTTAGTTATTGATTCTCATATGAGAAATATCCAATTAATTTTTAGCTTTGTTCAGGTCTAATTGGTATTTCTAAAATACTGCTGTCGCCGTTGATGATGATGATATTTTGAAATGTTTGCCTTCAGCATTTTCAAACAATACTTAATGCAATAAAATGTATTTTGGCTCTATTAGGATCATTGCTCCACCTGCTCCAAACAAGAGAAATTTTGTAGCCAAGCAGCGTTTTAAGAGTCAAATTTTGTTAGAGATCTGATATTGTCGTTTCTAATTGACTTAGGTTTGAGTTTTTCATTGACTATTCAGGAGTGCTTGAAACACTTAATTCCTACATAAAAATATTTGTCTATATACTATTACATGTAAAGCTAACAGCCCCTTACATTTTTTTTTTCAAATTGCTATACCTTCTACTTATTTTTGAAACATTCATGTTTTTTAGTGAGAAGCATGAAATGCACCTATTTTTGAACTTTTTTCAATGTGGTACTGGGGACTGCTGGCTATCGTGAATCGAGCAGTCCCTATCAAATATCCTAAAATATGTTAATTACTTATGCATATTTGTGCTTGCTTCCTTTTATTTGTTCTTTTCCTCTGTAAAATCCCCTGATTTTTGATTACCTCCTAAACAATGAAATTTATGTTTATCCTATGTATGTATATGTAGGTATCGGGTTCTCAAAAAAAAACCAATCAAAGATTGCTATGGTTCTTTAAACGTATGTCTTAGCAATATTTTTCTTTAACTTTGTCAATGAAATTTAATGTCAAAATTCATGTCAAAAATCCAATAAAGGAACAATAATGCGACATACATTTTCGTAATCAAAGCAATCTTTGATTGTTTTTTTTTAAGACCCGATATGTTGGTAAGCAAGGATAATAGAGGAATTTACTAGCAGCTAAAGGGATTATTAAAAAGTGTTTTAATGTGCCTACTTAAAAGCCAAGAGTGTACCAAATTTCTGTTTTTTTTTCCAAATTTTGACTTCATTAGATTCAACTTCTATTAGATACTATTTATTTCTATCTTCGAACAGCAAAATCTCGACATTGATGAATAGATGGTCGACCATACAGAAATGCAACTCAAACCTGAAGCGGGGTTCTCACTAGACGATTTTATTGATCAATATCATTGAACCTATGCCATTGAAGTAAAATAGTCAGTGTGAACATCCATTCAATGGTATTGCTCCATGATTTTGTGTTTCTATCAAATCGGAAGCCATTCCTACTTTTCATGGAGCAATGGGTCGAATTCAATTAATTTGAACGGTGGTTGAGAACGAGCTTGTTGAGCCGCATTGAACTGTCGCGCCAGTGCGGTGTGTATATTTTGACTATTTTTTCTAACTGTTTTGATATTAAATTTACCGAACCGCTAGGTTTTATTTAAAGTCTTTGTTTTCTGTGTTTGAAAATGTCCAGTTTTAAATGGAGAGATAATCCTATACACCTTCATATGTACGTTGTAAAATCCACGGTCTAATTCACCAACGAGGAGGTTTTCTATTTTTTTGGTTTCTTATCACGGTTTTTAAATACTCACAGATAGTACCAACTCCGGCACGCAGAATTTTCTTCTTTGCAGCCATTTTAAAAACATAATAAATCTTCAATGTTCTTGATGAATGCGAACAAATTTTTCATTCCATCCTATAATCAATAGTATAGATTCAATGAAATTTATCAATAAAATCGATTAATGAGAACCCGGCTTAAAATTTTCTGGACAATGACATCCTATAGCAGAGAGCATAGGACTAGTTTGAGTCGGTCATTTTTGAATTTATCTAGTTTATGAATGTCGCAATAATTGTTAATTTATATATTTTTGTTCCAGGGTGAAAATCCTATCTACAAACAAGCAACATCGACGTTTAAGAACCCAACTTATGCTGGCAAAGGTTAAAGTTAAAACCGAGAATAATTTTTAATGACTGATAAAGAAATCTCTTATATTTTGTACATAACACCAGTAACCTGAAAGCATTGCCATGTCTGTACACGAACTGCCATATTATTTCTTTTTATGAGACAGGAAGATGAAATTTTTCTTTTTTTTCTGTCAGTTTAACAATAATGTTTTGACATATTGTAATAAGTTTAGGAAATGTGGGCGGTTCTTGCAAATAAATAAATTAAACCTAGTCAAATTGTATGAATTTTGGTTGCTATAATGGGCTTTATCAGGGATCTGTATTGATCGACTCGAATAACTTTTTTCCTGAGTTATATAGATATTTTATTTTATGAATTTTTTTTTATAGATACTTAATTTCATTAATAAATCTGAATCTCTTTAGATCAGATTTTGTAGTCGAGGTGCCTAAAGAATATAGTGTCTTAAATAAAGACTAAAATGATGCTGATGTTGAATATTTTTTATTATTAGTAATTACTTAGTGGTAAAAAATAAAATTAGTTGACGGCCTCTCACATAAACAATAAATAATCTCCGACGACGGTGTTTATTCATTGTTAAATGAAGGTAGTTATAGAAAGTGCCCTAATTTTTGTTTGAAAATAACAAACATGTTTTACTTTAATAAATAGGCTACACAGGGTGTTACTTATATTGTGAAACTCTAAAAAATTCTTCTGCTATAAACTCTCAATTGGTAGGAAGGTACCTAAATTTAAATAATTGACTTAAATATTTTTATGACACATAAAAAAAAGAGTAACATCTTTGTATACCTTATTCTTTCTGATAACTATTTCTAATAAGCTTTGATCACATAAATAATAAGTCCAATAGTCTTCACTAATGATCTGATTTTTTTTTAGTAAGAATATGTAATTTTAATTTTTTTTGTAATTTATTATTTTTTGTAACAACCAGTCAAGTAACCAATAGCTATGTAAGTGATATGTTCTGAAAAGAGTTGTCGGCTTTGCCGATTAGGAAAATTTTTACACTTGTTTTACAAGATTATTTGTACAAGCATTATTTATTGACCAAAATTAATTTATCCATAATTTTATTCCATTGACAGTAGGTTATTTGATTTTACTTAAATCTGGTCTATCTATATTTTGCAACATTGCAAAATGAAAAATGCAGGTTGCTAATAATGGTTGCCCAAAGGCAAAACGTAGAATTTCAAATTTGATAACAACAATCTTGTAAAGCACATGTGTCCAAGAGTTGTGTTCGAGAGAATGTAGTGTACAAACTAAAATTTAAATTAAAACTGAAATGAATGATGTAGATTTTTTTCCTCAACTAAACTTAATGTTACAAATCAATTGTGCTTATCATCGTAATAATTAATTTTCGTCTTGCTATTGTCCCGTTTTCAATTCATTTTGTGCGAGAAGTTAATACATACATCGAATGAAACATTCTTAATAAATAGAATTAACAAAACTTATTGTCCCTTTATTTTTATACTTATAAGATGGGTTTACCTGCAGTGTTGTCGTCTGAACGACGTCACCAGCAGCTGCGGCGCTTGAATGTACTGGGCCCCTAAGCAAATATCACAATTAGGCCCCCCTACCCTTGCAATAAAAAAACAAAGATTTTCGTACTCGATAATTTATTTGTCTTTTAATAAACCTTTGAACCAAAATCAAGTGAAATAAAATGATGTATAAAAAAAAAGTCACAAATATTATTTATTTGGTAGCACATCAAATCACAACCTAATTTTCTTTATTAAATAAAACAAAAATCTAAGACCTTTACCTTAAATCGTAACCAAGCAAAAAACGGAGGGTTTATAAAATTGCCCAGAATGTTGCCCTATAATCCTTTAAATTACCTTTACCTACCACTCAAAAGTCTCTCCTTCTGAGTTTTATTTATCACATTAATTGTTCAACTAAAAGAGCCAATTAGAAGCAGCGGAAGAAAAAATTTTGATTATTAAATCAAATCAAATTATGCTTTATTGTCTTAACTGAATTGTTATTGACAAAGCAGCCTTATTAGGTAACATAACGACTCACTATGTCATAATCATAACATGAGAAAAAATCTTTTAAATGCCTTAAATAGTACATTATAACAATACTGTTCTTGTCACAATCTACCACTATTATTGCCTTAAAAACTAAAAATCAGTCGTTTTCAGTTGTCTTTAAAAAATAAAACAAAAATAAAATAAAAAAGACAACGGACTCAAAAGTTTGAACAATAAAACAAATTAACATCTATAACGCACACTATAAACAGAACAATCCAGAAAAAAATCTAAAACCTGTCTGCCAGAAATTGAAACTGTCGTTCAGTCTTTATTTGTTTAAGACCTGCCGGCAAATGATTGAACAACTCGCGACTTCTGAAAATGATAGAGTCTCTTACCTGACTGGAAGTGGTTATAGGAAGGCTAACATCATTGTGTTGAGTCTTATAGGTTGTATGCGATATGAATATACTGCTTTTGTGTTTCCTGTGAATTAAGCAGACCGATTCTAACACAGATAATGCAAGAAGAGTCAAAATATTTTTGGAAATAAATAACGGCTTGCAAGAATCGCGTGGGTTGGCTCCACATAAATATCTAATTGCTCTCTTCTGCAGCAAAAAAATGCCATCAAATAACTGCTTAGAGCAAGTACCCCAGAAACACAGCTCATACCGCAAATGAGACTCTATCAAAGCAAAATAAGTATTTCTGGCAATACATGGTTCCAGTTCCCTAGAAATAACTCCAAGTGCAAAACAATTAGATGCCAACCTATTCCTCAAACACTTCAAGTGTGCTGCAAATTTCAGACGATTATCTATCCAGAGACCCAAAAATTTATTTTCCACAGATGGAGTTAATAAACTGTCATTCAGACAGATGTCAGTGAGGTTACATTTAAAATTCATTACATTTGTTTTAAATATATTTAACGTCAGCCCATTAGCGTCACACCTATGTCATTACTGACCGCATCCCGTAATCTAGAGCTGTCAGAATTATGCCACAAAATTGTTGCGTCATCAGCAAAGTAAAATTTCCAGAGATATCAAAGCCTGCGAAGTCGTTGACATCTAACAAAAATAAAACTGGACCCAAAACAGAACCCTGAGGAACGCCACAATTCAACACTTGCTCGCCAGACATTGAACCATCAAAAGAGACCCTCTGTGTCCTGCCTGTCAAATAACTCTCGAACCAGTTGAGAGCGCTTCCTCTAAATCCGTATGATTGCAGCTTCCACAACAATTTCCCATGATCAACACAGTCAAATGCCTTTGACAGATCACAGAAAACCGCTGCTGCCACATCAGCATGGTTAAGATTCAGATACAGCGATTCCAGAAACAAGAAAATGACATCACCTCTTGGAGGTCTGAAACCCAAACTGCTCCTGCACTGGAATGTTGTTTTTTTCTAAGTACCCAACAACACGCTTCTTAACAATCTTTTCAATTATTTTGCCAAGCGTTGGCAATAGTGCCACAGGTCTATAATTTATGGGACACTCCTCATCCCCCCCTTAAATATTGGAATTATCGTTGCCAATTTCAAGCTTGTGGGGAATACCCCAGTACAAAATAAGTGGTTTATGCAACTCACCAAGACCTCACGAGCTTGCATAGGAAGTTTCAAAAATAACCTTATTGATATTTCGTCCCATCCTGACGCACCATTTAATTTGGTGTCCTTAAATATGGTATTATCAACTCAAGAGCTGCTAATGAGTACCCGAGTGAGTACCTAATCGAAATTTATATTATTATCGGCTCTTGAGCCTTGACTGCCCTTAGAACAATTCTCTAGGAAATCCGGAGTTGATAAAAGTTTAAATTTTGACTATTACCGGCTCTTGATTGGTTCCAGTAAAGTTTTCCAGAAAATCAAGAGCCGATAATAATTCAAATTTTGATTTTTTGGCTCTTGATCCATTGGATACTTTTTCTAGAGCCAATTAAAAGCTGCGGAGTGCGGAAGAAGAAATTTCGATTAATATCAACTTAAGAGCTGCTAATGATCATTCGAAATTTTGATTATAATCGGCTCTTGAGCTTTGAATGCTCTTAGAAAAATTCTCTTGCGAATCCAAAGTTGATAAAAGTTCAAATTTTGACTATTACTGACTCTTTATTGGCTTTAGGAGGGTTTTCCAAAAAATCAAGAGCCGGTAATAGTTCAAATTTTGATTATCTGTGGCTCTTTGATCCATTGAATAATTTTTCTTGAGCCAATTAGAAGCTGCGGAAGAAGAAATTTTTATTAACATCAACTGAAGAACTGCCGATGCTCATTCGAAATTTTGATTATCGGCTCTTGAGCTTTGAATGCCCTTAGAAAAATTCTCTTGCGAATCCAGAGTTGATAAGAGTTCAAATTTTGACTATAATCGGCTCTTGATTGGCTCCAGGAAAGTTTTCTAGGAAATCAAGAGCCGGTATTAATTCAAATTTTGATTTTCTGTGTCTCTTGACCCATTGAATAATTTTTCTTGAGCCAATTAAAAGCTGCGGAAGAAGCAATTTTGATTAATATCAACTAAAGAGCTGCTGATGATCATTCGAAATTTTGATTATCGGCTCTTGAGCATTGAATGCCCTTAGAAAAATTCTCAAGCGAATCCCTGGTTAATAAAAGTTCAAATTTTAACTATTACCGGCTCTTGCTGCGACAGAAGAAATTTTAATCAATATCAACTCAAGGGCTGCTAATGATCATTCGAAATTTTGATTATTATCGGTTCTTGAGCTCTGTTTGAATGCCCTTAGAAAAACTCTCTTGCAAATCCAGAGCTGAAAAAAGTTCAAATTTTGACTATAGCCGGCTGTTGATTGGCTCCAGGAAAGTTTTCCAGATAATCAAGAGCCGGTGATAGTTCAAATTTTGATTATCTGTGGCTCTTGATCCATTGAATAATTTTTCTTGAGCCAATTAGAAGCTGCGGAAGAAGTAATTTTGATTAATATTAGCTAAAGAGCTGCTGATGATCATTCGAAATTTTGATTATCGGCTCTTGAGCTTTGAATGCCTTTAGAAAAATTCTCTAGCGAATCCAGAGTTGATAAAAGTTCAAATTTTGACTATTGCCGACTTTTGATTAGCTCTAGGAAGGTTTTCCAAAGAATCAAAGGCCGGTAATAGTTCAAATTTTGATTATCTGTGGCTCTTGATCCATTGGATAATTTTTCTTGGGCCAATAAGAAGCTGCGGCAAAAATAATTTTGATTGATATCAACTTAAAGGGGGTGTGACCCTAAAAAAACGACTTAAGCCGTTTAAATCAAGAAAAAAATTCCTATATTCAAAATAGTCTCTGAGAAAATTCCTTATAAAGATAAATTATGCAGGAGCTTGTAATGTCACAACCGCCGAAATCGCAATCTTCTGTTCGTTCAGTCGTCAGTGAACCGTACCCTATACTCTGAGTGGTTGCAATTCGCTCTAGGAGATAATTGTCTTTTGTTTTGGAGAATTCTTACACGTTTCAATACTGTCCCTGATAATCCAGTGTGACGTCACAAACACCTAGTTGTAATTTTAAACCGCCGTAACTCGAAAACGGACCATCGTAGCATCAAGATGCGGTTTAAATATTTGTTCTTAGATTTTTTTGCACTAAAACTTTCAATGTTGGGTCACACCCCCTTTAAGAGTTGTTAATGATCATTCAAAATTTTGAATATTATCGGCTCTTGAGCTTTGAATTTCCTTAGAAAAATTCTCTTGCGAATCCAGAGTTGATAAAAGTTCAAATTTTGACTATTACCGGCTCTTGATTGGCTCTAGGAAAGTTTTCCAGGAAATCAAGAGCCGGTAGGGAAGAGCGGGGAGGGTCTGGACAGTTTTCACATAAATTGAGATGACAATTTTCAAATTTCGTTCATCAAACAAATCGATCCATCAATAAATTTTTATACTATTAGTGTTCAAACTTAAGAGCTGCTAATGATCATTCGAAATTTTGATTATCGGCTCTTGAGCTTTTAATGCTAGATCCAGAGTTGATAAAAATTCAAATTTTGACTATTACCGACTCTTGATTGGCTCCAGGAAAGTTTTCCAGGAAATCAAGAGCCGGTAGGGAAGAGCGGGAACGGTCTGGACAGTTTTCACATAAATTGAGTTAACAATTTTCAAATTTCGTTCATCAAACAAATCGATCCATCAATAAATTGTTATACTATTAGTGTTCAAAATAAATCATAAATCAAACGAATTCATTCCTCCCATTAAAACATGTAGTAACCTTTTAAGTGGTTATATGCCTAGCGTCCAGACCCTACCCACTGGTGGGGACGGTGTGGACAAAAATAATTTACCAATTGATGCTAGGTACCTACTACCAAATAAACATTTATTCAAATTAAAATCATACTATTAATAAGAAACAAAGAAACTTAAAAGTAGGTATTCAAACATATATAAGAAACAAAGAAACCATAAAACATTAAAAAAAATATATTCTAATAATTCAAGATCAAAATAAAAAAATTACATTTCGTTAAAGTGAAATCTAAGAAAAAGGTTATTGA